TAACTAGTATACACAAATAACAAATCGGGATTAGGATTACTATTGACTCTTTTGGGACAAAAACGTTATTGACAAAAACTGAAAAAAAAGATTGATCGACAGTCAATAAACATTCATTTATAAAACGAAACCTTTCTGCACGTTACTAACATGTTACAGAGTCAAGTTAGAAAATATACAAGCGTGTGTCCATATTCCATTTTTAATATTTCGTATTGACTTAGCTGTTGAATTAGTAATACCGTTTTGTTGCAAATGGAATCGTAATTAAATATACATTTGTTTCAAAACGCTCCCGAACTACAGATACCTCCGTGTATGTATACACGAATATACACAAATGTACACCGTATAGACGAACTGTTATTTTGTAAATAAACCGTGTTTGTAGAATGGCAAAAAACGGTCTAGTTTATTTAATGAAAAACCATTAATGGTATAAGTTATAGATGAGGATGTCCATCAAATCCTTGATGGGTATTATATTCTATTTAACTGTTGAGTAAATATAGCTATCGCTCGAACGCCATCATGATCAGTTTTTAATATTACAATACTTGGATTGACTGGGCAAAAATAATAATACAGGATGACCCACTCTTTGGAAAAAATCCATATTAGGTTTTCTGTTTCATTAGATTGCTTTTAAATACGTGTCAGAATATAGTCAAAGCAGGGTTGTTATGTCATAAACATTTTGTTTAAAAACAAGTGATTTAAACGTGTTTAAACACATCATTACTTGTTTTAAACATGTTCGGTGTGTAAGTGCTTCTCTCAATAAACAGATAAAAAGAAATCTTTCTTCAAGTATTTAATAAAAAAACACGACTAATAGAAAAGGAATAAAAAAAAACAATCTAATATACTATTTGTCAAAAAAATAGTATATCTTACTTTGGTGAGTGATTCTACAGATACAAATAAAACAAAAATGCCCTAAAATGCTTCCCGAAGTTACAGCCCTGGAAAGGTTAATAATTATTTTTTATACAAGACGATAAAATGGTATTTTATGAGAGAGAAGATTAATTAGAAGTGAATTAATTTCGGGAGACGATAATGCAATTTTATCATGGTGTATAAAACAATATTTTTTTTTCCATAGTTAGTTACGTTTTAAAAAATATTCAGAAATTATTATTTCAAGGAATTTATTACGAGTACAAAAAATATTGTGCTGGGTTGGCGTTGGTTTCTATGTAATTTGACAAATAAATAAAGCTGTCTCTTTAGTTGTCAGTTTTGAGTCAATATTTTTTATTACCCTTTCATGTCGATTGCTGATTGATTTGGAGCCAGAAATGGCTCAAAACGAAATAAGTAAATTACCAACAGATATTCAGGCTGAGGCGACAAACGCCATATCCAAACTACTTCCATTTAAATCCCGAATAACTTATGAAAACGAATACAAAAATTTTCAAAAATGGAAGCAATTAAAAAACGTGCAAGAAGAAAGATCAAGTGAAAACATACTTTTAGCATATTTTTCTGAAAAATCAAAGAAAATGCAGCCGTCCAGTTTATGGTCGTACTATTCCATGATACAAAGAATACAAGGTATGATATTGCGCAGGTTGGTCACTACGTCACAGGTGATAAACGGCACCATTGGTCGGCAAGCTCTGCGCGCCAATTTCAAATTGTCAAACAGATTGTGTCATCTGTGAAATTTGATTGTGTCAAAATGTGAAAATAATTTTTCAAATGTAAGCCATATACGTATTATTTACAAATATACTCAGAGTTCCCTATTTAACCCCGTGTGCAGTTCCTGTGCCGTAAGAGAAAGACAACATAACCCAGCTCCATATTAAAACTGCATAAGTCTATTTCATCCGGATATGGATTGAACTGCGATTGCGTCAAACTCCGATTGATTGTTGTTTTAGTTCTGTTTGGATTACTTTTTATTTGTGCGCGTAAAAGAGTGATTTTGTTTAGTTTATTGTTTCCAACTATTTTTTGATATTTTTCCAACTCCATGATAATGTGTTATAAATAATAAAAATATAAATAAAATTGAAGGTTAGGTGAAATGTCAGTCAACCACTTCCCTTTAAAAACATCGACCAATGAAAACTTCTTCAGGTGAGGCATGCGCAGTTAAATGAATATCCGGGTGAAATAGACTTATGCAGAATTCCATATTGTTCTTTCACTGTTTGGGCTTCACTTTTTGGAGATTAGGCTGAGTATATTTGTAAATAATACGTATATGATGTAAGCTCGATGTCAAAACATAACTTTTAGGGTTATGTTCTAATTCTTCCCTATTTTAGGTCGTTTTTTATTAGTGGCAATTGAACAATATGGATATTTTTTTGTATGGCGTATGACGTCACAGGTGGTATGCGCAAACTTAACGAAATTGGAGCCGCTATCGATCATACCTTGTTTTCTTTGTACCATGGTACTATTCAATGCTAAAAAGTGCAATACTGGCCAATGAAAATATAAAACAATGATATTTCAAGGTTAAGGATAGGTAAGCTTTAAATTTCCGTAGTAGCATTAACATCTAAACTTTGTAGATATAGCAATACAAGCTCATAACTTTCATGAATACAAATAATAATGATGATTCTTTGTAATCTCAATATTTTTAATACAGGATTGCAGTTTTTAAGCTATCCTCGCTGTTAAAGTATCATTTAATCTACCCTTGCGGTTAAAGTACTATTTTATCTACTATTTTTGATAGATATAAGGCAATTTTAACAGTTGCTATAGAAAAAACTAATAAAAAACGGGAGATCAACGAATCTTCGGATTGTCACGGGGTCTTTAACTGTCTCCTCAATGAACACCTCAGTAAATTGAAGCTAAAAAACAACGGCGAATGCAGATTCTGTGAGAAAGTGTGGGGGAAATACCAGAAAACCTCATCACTGACTGTGTCGAGACACAACCATCATTCGTGCTATAAACTTTGCTACGACTGATATAGGAGATGTAAAACCGTTCCAGATGCTGGCTACTATCAAAGCTCTAAAACTGAACGATGAGTTATAAGCCAAGAGGTCGCAGTGATTAACCCCCGCCCCCTCCTATACATTCTACATTATAATGTTTCCTCGCGTTGAACAGACTATAGAAGTAAAAATCCTCAAATAAAAGTTTTATACATTCATATAAACAAAGTTCATATTTACAGTTTTCGTCTATTTGAGCCTGTACTTTCATACTTTTATCTAATATAACCGGGACAAATCGGTGTATCTCTATCGTATATCGTACGTATCGCAATTCTCGAACTTGTGTATAATGTAAAACAGGCCCAGCAGGGCGTGAACCCAAAGCGAATAATGTCTCGAAAATATATCAAAAACCGTTTTATATACTTTTTGAATACGTTGGAAAGTTCTGCTCAAAGCGGCCCTAAGTCGTTTTCAATACGGCGAAATAAAGGACGGAACAGAGCCCTTTTCCATATATATACGCGTACGAATATGGTACGAAAGCGACTTTAAATATTAAATAAATAACCAGCAAATATACGTATACGAAAATAGACGAAAAGACATTAAAGGTATATGTTGAATAACACAAACAGAACTATTATTTATAAATCTGTACTTTAGTTCTTTGTACATTTTATTGAAGACTAATCTAAAATTAATTTCCAAATTATTTCTTCTCTTTTTTTTGCAATTCAGCAATTCCACTTGATCATTTTTATTTTCTTCTATCTTTTCTCATTAATCATCATCATCCTTTTCAGCTTATTCAACCATTTCCAATAATGGTGTAGCCTCCATCACATGTTTAGATACTCTTTTTGTAGTTAGACCCATTGGCTATCTATTGTTGGTTATGCGGGCCTAAATTAACCCTCCTAATCACGGTCCCATCTCAAGTTTGGTCTTCCTCTAGGTCTCTTGATTCGTCGTGGGTACCATGCTGTAATTTTTGTGGCCCATCTGTTGTCTCTCCTTCTTGCCAGGTGTCCTACATTGCCACTTGAGGGATTTAATTATGTGGCTGACATCTGTTGACTGGGTCTTTTGTCGTATCCACTCTATTCTTTTATGGTCTCTCTTGGTTATTCCCAGCATATTTCGTTCCCTTGAGCGTTGTGCGACCTGCAGTTTCCTTATAATGTCCGTTTTAAGTGTCCAGGTTTCGCATTAGAATAACATCGCTATATATAACCTACTTACAACTGCCGGGGCTGGTTTGAAAACACTTTCAAACCAGCCCAAGTTAATTGAGCTGGAAACAGAGGCATAAAATATAAAGTGTGGTTCATTTCACACTGGTTCGTTTTTCAAATGTACGTGGCTGTATATCAATGAAAAGTAATGCATCGCTTTATTAAGTAAACAAACCACTGCGCACGTCGCGCTAGGAAATCAAACCTTAAGACGGAAAGTTAAATTAAACAAATTATTGCCGTTTGAAGCTGGTAATTATTTAATATACCTAAATTTTTAGACACTCTGTATAAAGTAGTTTTTTGTTTATTATTGCATCACAATATCTGATCAATAAATAAACTTCAGTAAATATTTAGTATTAAAAACTTTGATACCCTTGGAGAAATGAAGCCTTAAAATGTTTACTGCAATTTCACAAAATTGAAAATATTTCAAAAACGGTAAGGTTTAAGTGTGATAAACCTTAATCAAATTTACCTTTATTTCAATCGTAGAACCTAAAAATAGAATAATATATAGGGTGTTCCATTTAAAAAAAAATACAACTATAATATTTTTTACTTATTTGGGACAATAATAGTCCTTCAACGAACCCAAAACTTTTGTAAAAATCTTATAAAAAATATGGCGAACAACCCTGTATATAGAATTTGATATTTCAAAATAAAGCATGAACAACTGTCACCTAAAAAATGTCAAGATAAACAAAAAAACTGTAAAACTCGAACCGAAATGTAATTACAACGCGTACTTTGACGTTGTTAATGATTTTCATTCTATCCTAATGTATTGATCTGTGGTATTGATAAATACATAGGGTATATAAGCTTGTCAATCAATGTCAAGATTGTGAATGAAATGTCACAATTACCTATATCTATAGAACATTTTTCAATTACAAAATTATTCAGTTACAAATCCCGATAAAATCTATGTTAAATTCAAACCAATCCTAATATAAAAAGTCGAAATGTTTGAACGGCTTGAAGATGAGGAGGACAATGACGAATCCGAAGATTCTGAAGAATATATTAAGCCCCCAAGATTGATTGCTATCATCGGCGATGAAGACACTTGCGTTGGATTCGTGCTCGGTAGAGATACTTAAAATTCTGTGATGAAATCCTGATTTTAATCTATACGATATTATACGTTTTAGCTGGTATTGGAGAGGTAGACGAATTTGAAAATCCGAATTACTTTATAGTGGACCAAAAAACCAATGAATACACCTTGGAGAAGATCTTCAATAATTTTACTCACCGAGAAGATATCGGTTTGATTCTGATCACTAAAGAAGCCGCAGATAAAATTAGTACGGTAGTTAAGCACTACAAATCTGTGGACCCTGCTGTTTTGGTTAGTTTGTGATACCTTCGGAATCATACAGTTTCGGAAGATTCATATTGTATAATCATACCTTCGGAAAATTCAAGATAAAAGCACTATTTTACCTTGAATCGTGTAATAGTACCACTTTATGATTTCATTTTTTAAAGGAAAATTCATTAACTTTCAAAAACTAACAACTTATGAGAGTCATTTCAAAAACGATACCACACTTTTTAACTGCTAAATGTAATTTAATACAATAATTAATGTTTTTTAGGTTATCCCAGGACATAATGGGCCCTACGAAATACAGCTACCTCCAGGCGTTCAGGAAATAGAAGATAGGAGAGAAGCCCAGCGTAGCAGACGTGGCAGCCTAGGATCCGTGGCATCCTTGGCTTCGTTAAAAACCCTCGCGTCGCACCACAGCAGCGTCCATACTATAAAAAGTTCAAAATTAGATACAAACTTGAATAAAAAATAAGAACCAAAATTTCTAAAAATTACACATTTGGCAAATGTAATACATTCAAATAAATTGTACGGATTACATTCAATACACTATACTTTATCATTTTTAGATATAAAAAAGATTAATAAATATGACCTATATTCTTTGTATGATAACATATAGAAAGATAAAAATAAGTCTAGAGATAAATACATTTTTATCCTATAACATGCTTGAAGAAAACCGTTTAAAATGACAGATATATAGAGCTAATAATTAAAAATTAATATAAACAATAATTTGAAGCTTTTAAACTATTATTAAGTCTTAAAATTTGGCATAGTGCCACTGGTTCCATAAGTAAGGTGTGCCCTAAGAATTAAAGAACGTCTGTGAAATGTTGCACTTAAGTGGTATAATTGAGCACTAAGAGGCGATTTTTTAAATTCACCCCAAAAGGGGTGAAATTAAGAAAAGTTTGTATACAAAATGCAAATCGAGTACCTATGTATTGAATGAAATCTTGTCCAAAGGTTTCGTAATAAACGCAACCATAACCACTATAAAACGATTCTTGAAAATTCATCCCCTAATTTTATAATTAGGGGTGAATATTAATGTGAAAATATTAAGGGGAAACAAATATGCTTGAGTGAACGACCAGTACAGAGCAGACACGTGAGAGTAGATACTTAATTAGGTTACTTATTAATAGGGCGAATTAATTTATCCTTAATTAGAGTAAAATTAAGGATAAAAGTTTGTATAAAAAAAGCAAATCGAGTGCCTATGTATTGAATGAAATCTTTTCCAAAGATTTCGTAAGAAACGGAACAATAACCACTATAAAGCGATTCTTGAAATTTACCCCCTAATTTTAAAATTAGGGGTGAATGTTAATATGAAAATATTAAGAGGGAACGAATATGCTTGAGTGAACGACCAGTACAGAGTAGACACGTGAGAGCAGATACTTAATTAGGTTATTTATTAATAGGGCTAATTAATTTATCCTTAATTAGGGTAAAATTAAGAATAAAAGTTTGTATAAAAAAATGCAAATTGAGTACCTATGTATTGAATGAAATCTTGTCCAAAGGTTTCGTAAGAAACGCAACCATAACCACTATAAAGCGATTCTTGAAAATTCACCCCCTAATTTTAAAATTAGGGGTGAATGTTAATATGAATATATTAAGAGAGAACGAATATGCTTGAGTGAACGGCCAGTACAGAGCAGACACGTGAGAGCAGATACTTAATTCAATTATTTATTAATATGGCGAATTAATTTATCCTTAATCAGGGTAAAATTAAGGATAAAAATTTGTATAAAAAAATGCAAATTGAGTACCTATATATTGAATGAAATCTTGTCCAAAGGTTTCGTAAGGAACGCAACCATAACCACTATAAAGCGATTATATAGTGGTTAATAAAGCGATTCTTGAAAATTCACTCCCTAATTTTAAAATTAGGGGTGAATGTTAACATGAAAATACTAAGAGGGACGAATATGCAGTACAGAGCAGATATGTAAGAGCAGATACTTGATTAGGTTATGATTTTCCAGGTTAAAATCAATCTTTTGTCAAAGATAGTTCTTAGATTACAGTTGAGGGTTGGAACCTTTGGTGTTAAACAGCAAAATAAAAACACTAAATCACCACAATACACCAAAACACTTTTACTTTTACACTGGACGCGCGTTTCGCTAACCATGTTAGCATCATCAGCAGATGATTAAAACTCAAAAGTTAGTTTTAATCATCTGCTGATGATACTAACATGGTTAGCGAAACGCGCGTCCAGTGTAAAAGTAAAAGTGTTTTGGTGTATTGTGGTGATTTAGTGTTTTTATTTTGAAAGATAGTTCTACTACGAATGTATCAACTATAATTTTCTTTGCTATTGTCCATTTCTTATGACAGTAAAATAGTATGAAATTCGGAATACCTGTATTTTTTCACGTTCAAATTATAAAGGAAATGTGCAATTCGAATAATAGGTTTTTTTTTCGAAGTCGAGGAACAAAGCTAGAGTATTTATTTATAAACACATTTTTTAAAGAGTTTTGGTGACAAAATGTTTCACCAATAAATATCTAACTTAAGTATCTATATTTATAGTTCTCCCTATAAAAGGTAGGTAGAGAGAAATTTCTAAATGAGTCTCAATACTCCTTATAGTGGCTTCCCGTTATATATACATATATATTGTATTTTTAAGGCTTTCTTAATACGTATCTGTACAAGGTCTCGTTCAGTTTCAAGTTCGCATTTGATAATACAGGAATGCATGTGTAATACAAAAAATACATACGTAAAATGCTATATAAACAAAATATTAAGATGTTATTTTATATTATCCCTTAGAAATTCAGGAAATTACACATGTTTGGCTTTAATTTTATTTACTAATTGTATAAATTATACTGTTAAATCTTATTTTTTACACATCACAACGATACTTGTTATTAGTATTGTTGAATTTGTGTAAAAAGTAAGAGCCAACAATCAAATTTAATTATTTTAGACTAAAATTCAATAAATACGCTCATTTAAAAAGCCCGCGCTTCGATCCATTTAAAATAAGCCCTACTCAATAGATGCCTACTCAAAATAAGCCCTACTCACTTCTGTAGGACCATTTTTCAGTATGGCAGAGTCCATTCTTTTTCTAGCTAGGTATATTCTTTGTTTTAATTCTCTTTATATGTAAAAAAAGTTTTTACCTACTCAATATAAAAATAATTTACAACCTTCTTAAGGCCAACTAGAAAAAATAAGAGAAGAAAAATAGAAAGAAGAGAGTAAAGAGAGTACGGGTCAAATAATGACGTCTAGGGCTTGACCTCGCCAAAGTTATCATCGATTGTCATTCCCCAGCCGTCTTCGACGCCGTTTTTTCTCGATCGTATGGTATTATCATTATTTTTTAATGTTGTTGTCACTCAGTACGCGAGAAATAATCTAGTGTCACTTTTAAATGTTCAAAATTGAAATTTTCGAATATCTTTCAGTAAATTGTCATCATAAATATTCACATGGCATGAATATTTCATTACGTACGCTAAGCTCTTACATAAAGAAAAAAGTGTTCTATATTTAAAGCTTCCAAGACGTGTTACGATAATAACGCTGATGTCACTGGCTGTCATACAGTTGTCGAACGTATGTCGTTCTCAATTTCGGTGTTTTTTTTTATCGGAATGCCACAAATTTACACACAATGGTTTACATTCCGGGCTCGTATTTTTGAGAAAGCATCAAAAATAGACCGAGATAGTGATAGATCGTTTGTATCTGTTTGATTCTTCTGTTTTTGTTAAGATAGTGTGGTATATATTTATTTGACAGGTAAAAAAGGTCCTGATCAAGACTGAACGTTTTTCGTGCCGGTGAGCATAAATTAGATATCCGTTAAATATATAAACTGTAATCAAACTAACATTAACACGATAACGCTCGAATTCAACAACTCAATTCTCGAATTCTTTCAACCTTATTTTGTGCCCTGCTCCAAATAAGGCTCAATAAAATAAACGTTCTCCTTTTAACGTGTGTCACTTCCCATTCGAACAGAGCGAGCGGCACTATTTACATATAAGCTCGCAGTGGAGATTGGGACAAGCAGGGTCAAAGTGAATAAATTATGGAGTCAACAATACGTAATTCACGTGTCCAAACTTTCAAATCGACTTTCGCTAGAATGAGGGTCCGGGTTGCTTTGAGAACTTCATGAAATTTTTATGCGAGCCCGTAGTACGTCTATGAATGGCAAAAATACCGATTACTGTAAACAAATATTGGAAATAAATAGAAAAAAGTCATTTATGTCAAAATTGGGACATTGCTTGAAGAATTATTTTATGTAAAAATGTGGTTAAACATTTATTTCATGGCTTTTTTGCAAATATCATACGATAAAAACTGATTTGAAGGCATAAATAAGGTTATATTTATCAAAAATGGTAATAAAGAGTATCTTATATCAGCAAAACATATGTTCTTATTTTTCTATATTAATTTGAATATCTACGATCTATAAACTCTTTATTTTCATTGATTTCTTCATCATCTTAAGCTTGATCTTGATCTTTGTTCTTTCTACATCTTGATTCACTTATTCTATTTCGCTTGGTGGTAACCAAAATGGGTTGTGCAAGGAAGTGTGTAGTAATCATACCTTCAACGCTCTCGTAGCTAGCTTTTCCAAGGACAGATACGTTTAAAACACGGTAGAACCATTTGATTCTTAAGAGTTGTCTAAGGTGTCTCAGTTGCAACATGTTCAGGATCAAGGTAAGGATCATAGCAATTCTATCTTGGTCCAGAGCCAGTACTAAAAATACCCAAATGTATAACCTGTGCTATGGATCATAGAAAAGCAGACCGTCCACTGGAAAAACAGACAGGATCACAGGCGTAGCAAAACCTTCATCCAAAAGCCTAATTCTAAAACCAGAAAGGAACTGCTAATGCTCATCAGGAATAAAATGCGAATTACAACAAGCCCCTTGACAGATAATATGGCTGTCAAGTGCTTCCCGATCAAGCTGAATCTATATCACGGAAGTCTTTGCTGCAGACACTGCGATAAAAAACCTGAAAAAGCAGGGCACATAATATGTCACTGCCAGACCTTGGCGGAACTATACTCCCTTTCTATCAAGGACCTGCAGAAGCTGATGCAGGGCACAGGGATAGGAGACTTGATGTAGAAAAGGGGACAAACATAATAGGCCTTGCAGGTCACAGTATTTCCGGTATAGAACAGTCCTTTAATACTGACGAACAAAAATACCTCTGTGGGGAATTCAAAACTGAAAATTCCAGGTATTTTACATATATAAAAATTGCTTTTAAAACGTCCTCCGACGTTGTGCGATGGCTAGTCGCGATTGGTCTCGTTCATCCCAGTCTCCACCACACAGATCCCTTGAGCTCATCGCCTTCTTAAAACCCTCCATCCAGTTTGTTCTTGGTCTTCCCCGTTTCCTTCTCTTTTGTAGAAGCCAGTTTAGTACCTTCTGAGGCAGTCGCGTGTTGTCCATCCTTCTCACATGTCCATACCACTTCAGTGGGACACTCTCTATTTCCTCTACTATAGTTTTCTGTCTACCC